AAAGGTGAATTTGAGGGAAGCCTCAAAGGGATAACTCGGGATGTATTAGACGGGTGTGTCTTTTATCGTAAAATTGACGCAGATTTATGTATGCTGTGTGCGTCTGGGACTCACCTGCTGGAGTGCTGTCAAGAAGTTCAAGTTCTTCCAAAGGCAGCGAAGTAAGGAATTAGAATACGAGTACAAAGGTTTTTTCTAGAGATTCGATTACGAATATCTAAATTAAGACAAGTTATGACTTTTATCTGGTTTTTACGCGCTACCTTATATTATTTAATAACATTAGTGAACCGCTTTTTTTAAAAAATGATACTCGTGTATTTTTTTAAACTTTTTGATGTCATGTACCAACACGGGGATAATTTTAGTAATCTACCTAATCCGTAACTTTCATAGGTAGGTACGTAGGTGTGGCAATTTATGTATAATTGGCTTCATTTATCATTTCCATCACGTGATCATAGCGCGTCGTATGAATCAAGCAAATACTTCGCGTTTATATCTGATTTGGTTTTTGAAATTGCAAACAGAAGTCCTTATTTATATTAGTTTTTCATTCCTGGCATTTACTTACTGTTTAAAATTAACTATATAAATGTCAAGAATTCGACTGCCTCAAGTTCAGATCACAGCGTTTTTTTTTTTTTATTATAAAAATGATTTATCAGTTTGTAAAAAAAGGCTATAACGGTATGTTTTACTGGGTTTTTTGATTTGTTGATTTTTGTTGCTTGAAAAACAATGTCAAATGTGTATGTTACTGATTTTCTTAAATACATAGACATTCTCAAATTAAAAAATGCTTAACTTCGGCTGTTTATGTTTATATTTCGAAAGAATTCGATACGTCCAGATTACAAGCATCAGCGGTTAAAACAAAATGAAATTTTATTCATTTTGTGTCCACAACACAGATGAAATGACTGATTAAATAATTAACTATACTCAGTTCTTTTCTCAAACACACTAATAAATTTGAAGAACATTTAATCGGCAAAATTGTAAGATGACCGACCAATTTTGATTAACCATCATTTACCAATAATAACCTTAAAATACTGGCAAGATTTCCCAGCATTTGGTTTTTGCAATTTCAAAGTTAGATTGTAAAATTTTGTTATACAATTTTAATTTTTTTTCCAAAAATCTGGATGACTGATGTATAATGTCAACGGGGATTTTTAAATCACACATGCAGGAGTCTGTAATTCTATAAAACGTAAAGAACATTTTTTATTCGGCGAAATTGACGAAAATGACGGTTATCACTTTTTTTAGGGGGGCGTATAAACGAAAAGATTTTGATTAACGATTTACCATGCTTACGATAGCTTTAAATCGTTTGCAAGAGTTCGGAGGATTCGGTGTTACACTTTTAAAGTAAAATTGCAAAACGATGTTATACAACTTTGATTTTTTTTTCAAAAATCTGGATGCCTAGAGTAAAAACTCAAGACGGATACATAAACCACATTTTATAAAGTCTAAACAAGAATATCTAAGCCACATTTTGACTAGTGTTTTACCATCTACACAACAGTCCTAATACATATATAAAATTTGACAATAATCAGTCCAGTAGTTTCGGAGATTATCTGTCGAATAAAAATCTGGGCACACGGCAGACAGACCGACAGACGGAAATGGGAGACCTCTTTTTCATGTTCTAGGGGTCATGAAAGGTAGAGAAAAATAAAAGTAGCCAGTTGTCCAATGGATTCGATCACAATACTTGCTCAGCTTACGCTCAGTAAGTAAAATCATTTCTTAAAAATATTATATTAATTACAATAGTTTACAAAATCTTACTTCCACGTACAAAACTATGCTTTTGGAAGGCCATTCTGCATCCTGAATCAGAATATGTAGTGAGAAAAATTATTTCACGTCTGGGATACTACGTGAACGTATATTATGAATATGATACTAGTTTTATTATAAGAAACATTTGTCTTATAAACGAGCTACCATACGGTATTTTTTCTACTTTTCGAAATCTAGGGAATTTTGAGGCAGTTGGGAAGATTTGCATAATGTAAGAATGGCGGCTATGGAAAAATTAATTTGTATTTTCATTAACTTGAACTGTTGTAAAAATGAATTGGGAAGGTGCCGTTCAATTAATTAAATTATTGAATCATCGAGATCTTAATTGACGGCACACTAATGCCAACCTTGAAAAAATAAATTATACTTACTATTTTAATATCATTCTTACAGCACGGATGTTTTCTTGAATGAACACAAAGTGAATATAATATAATTGAAACGTTTTTCTTTTCTTTTTTTTTTTTTGTCTACCCAAAATCGTCCAGTGCCATATGTTTCCAATAAAATAAAAAAATGGTCCAAGTACAGTCGAACAAATCCAGTTTTCGAAAAATTTTAAAATTTGATTTTGCGAAATGTTAACTATTTTATGATAATCCCTGTGGGTAAAACATACGGTGAGAAAAAAAACACTCGGTAACGATGGGATTCGAATGGCGCAAGTCGGTAATCAACCATTAAGCAAAATGGAAAAGCGAGCTAGCGGACATGAAAAATGTTGCACAAGAACATTGTAAAGTAATTGTGATAAAAATCATGGAAGTTTTATTTTTAATTTATGAAAATTTTGAAATTTTATAAAATAAGGTATTCTTAAACTGGTCGCAAAATCAAATTTTATCATTTTTGGTAGAAGCTGTATTTGTTGGAGTGTACTTCGGGGGATAGGGAGATTTTGTGTAGTACTCTAGACCAATTTTTATTTTACCAATAAGTCCAGATACAGACAAAACAGTAATTAAAACATTGCAAGCAAACATTGTAAACACAAATAATACTTTTACTATTTAGCAACGTAAATGAAAATAACGCGACTATCAAAAACTGAATAAACTTAATTAGAACTAACTTTTGATCTTTCTTGCTAGTTTTTGAATTTTAACTCAAAATAATTACAAAACTAAATTGGGGGAAACGTCGACTTTCTTAAATTCCAAACGATCTAAACTCGGAAAATGTCTTTATATCAGGGCGTATTATTTTATTCAAAAAAAACTACAAGATGAGAACATCAGGTTGACATAGATCAATAAAAAGTAATGGGAATCAGACGTTCATGTCACTGTCCAGTATTTTCTTTTTCTAATAAAATCTTACTGTATTTTAACAGTTGTAGCATAAATTGTAGCTCAAAACATTGCTTTATTGAAGAAACCAGTTGTCAGTGACAGAATGACAAACGATAATACCAACCGATATCAATAATTATAAAAACATCCCTAGGTTTTTGTCGGACTAGTCCGGCAATTTTTTGGTTTCTGACCGTAAAAAAACATATATTCAACAAAACACAATATTGTTATTCATAATTACGATGATTTTGGGAAGTCAGTGATAATAATAGAACAGTTCTATTCAGCGCCAAGCGTGCAATATCCATTAACGCAGAAACATACACTTCTGACAATTTGATTTATTCCATAGGGGAACGTATGTTGAGACGAAAAAATGTGTATCGACCTTTTTTAATATTTGTAATTAACTGCTGATCAATAATAACGCAAAGATCCCTAATCCCAGAAATGGTAAATAGTACTTTTTATTATTCAATCTCCACTATTTCTAAGTTCCAGCACGCAAGCAAATTGTTGAAAAATTCCTGCCACCAGCTCTCTAAACTATGATCTTTTGGTACCCTGCGCAGAACTAAACGCTTTTAAGAGCGGAACTACGCAAGCAACGTTGCAGTCAAATTAAAGAAAAGTTATTGTCATTTTGCTGTAAAAAAACTAATGTACTACAAAATTCACATAGAATAGAGGTACGAGTATAAGACCGAATGAATTGCTTGCCCTATAGTTTCAGTGTGTCCCATTTGTTGTCAAAAAGATGGATATATATATTATTAAACCACAACTAAAAAGCATGTCTCACTATAATTTTTCGGCGAATTTACTTATCAAAATTTTGAAACCACGTTATCATGTTTTTGAAAAGAATTCCAATTAATCGATCGATATACCACCTTGGTGCGAAAAATTTTAGACTACCTAATCGGATTAATCAGTCGCATGTATAGGCATCTTATATAGGACATTTAGACGAAGATCGAGGCCTAATAAATAAGATACCTGTATGTATAGGTACACAATCAGAAACGTTATATTTGCATAAAGCTGCGAGTATTTAGCGACGAACTTTGACATGCAGTTATATAGCTTTAGTATGAAGTTGTTATCGTGTAATATAATAATATTTGTTCTTACCTGCTGTTGACCTGTGCAAAACTTTGATAAAGAGGTTATGGTATAAACAGGTTGCGGTTGTTACTATTTCTTTGTTTTTTGATTTTTGGGCTTATCGGATCTTGGGTAATCGATTGCGATAACGTTAAAATAATGGGATTCCATTGAGAAAAATCGGATTGCTAAAGAGATATCCAAACAACGTTATCTCGCAAGCAGATAATATTTTATCTCGATTCAGTATGCGTACCTGAAACGCTTCTTGATAGTAATGTGCGTGTAGTGAAGATGGGTCGTGTTACGTGACCATTCGCCCTTATTCAATTATGGGTGATGGTAAACCGTGGTGGAGCAGCATTAAATTATGGAAGGACATGTGTGAGGCTGCTATCCTTTACTCTTTACATCCAACCTCAAGTTACGACTCGTCTTCGTTGTGGTCTGCGACGTATCCTGGAGGTTGGTCGTTAAGGAGAAATAATCATTCGGACGTTTTTCAACCAGCGCATTTTCCATTATTCATTTTTTCATCCATGAAAGGGGTGCGATGCGCCCGATGTGATTACGTCAACGCTATTTTATTCAAAGAATTTTAATTATTTTTTTTGTTTTATGGAGCCACCGTACACCTCTCAACTTGATAAAATGTTTTATTTTTATCTTATCAGCGTCTATTGGTTAATTCGCCGCTTCGATTTTTTGTCTAATTTATTACAACTGTCATGGAGGAAACGAATTATTTATTTGCATCAATTTTGTCCGCAGTTTTTCCAAATGTGCCGCCGCAGCCGGGAATGCCCTGCCAAGGGGAGGACAGTAAGTATTTCCCAAGTTTATTCAATCGTAAATTTGTGGGGGCGGCAACCACGCTCGCCAACAAATAACAACAAACTACGTTGGCAACACCTCTACTACCATTTTAATTGCCGTTGCGAACTTCCATCACAAAAACAATATTTTCCAACGCTTCTACTAACGATTTAACTTCGACTAATGTTTTGCGAAAGTAATTAAACTGCTTCCATTAATTTCTTACACGAACGGTTGTGTTTTGTTTGAAATAGTAAAAGAGCGCCAAATTCAAATCCCTAACCATGCACACAACTTTTTTTACTTTTTTTTGTAAAGATTTAAAATGGCGTTGCCGCAATGACAATGCTGCGTGAACTACATTGAATCATCGTAAAGGCGCCACATTTTTAACTTCATTCCAGTGGTACTTTCAGTAAATATTAATGTTATGCATAATTTCAGGGAGTATTTATAGGAGGGGTGCCAGGCGTTGGAGAAAACTATATAGGGTCAACGGTCACATTTTTCAAGCCAAACGTTTTAATAGAGTAAGTTTTTACTAATCCAACGTGTTAAGATTATACAATTCGTGCGTTTCAGAGAGCGTTTTGCGCATTCTGCAATGACAGAATATGGGGCTTAGGCCGTCAAGGTTTCAAATGCATCCAATGCAAGCTCCTTGTCCATAAAAAATGCCACAAATTAGTACAAATACCTTGTACAGTTGAATTAGTAGAACCGTCTATTCGAGAAGAACATAATGGTGAATCCCCCTTAGTAACACAAACCACAAATAACGAGATTATAACAGAGCTCCGAGATAGAGAATATTCAGAACCACCTCCAGATGTCACAGGTAAACAAAGAAGTGCAAAATGACAACATAACCTCACTTTTAATCCTTGACATTTCCGCATTTACCGAGTAATTACTATACAATTATCAACCATTTATGTATTTACAGTTTAATTTCCTTAAATGACCTTAGTTTAATTTAAATTAATTTGCCTGTCCCTGTTCGCTTCATTTCTTGAATGTTACCGTACATAACCTCAATTTTTCTCTTTTTTTTTCCAATTCTTTTCAACTATAATCATCGACTACCTGCAAGTTCGTCACACCACATCTTAGTGGCAAAAGTTAACTAATGCCCTTTCCTGCCAACTTCTTGTCGTTTTCAGAGTTTCTCTCGCCGTCACCAGTCCCGACCTAACCTCAACTTTCTGCGCCGTTGATTTATGCAAATTTATGTTTCATGCAGGTGAATCGGTGCCTGTGGAGGACCCGAATCGTCAGTCGGACGACCTGGAGGCCGGTTCTCAGCGTCAGTATTCGTTGAACGACTTTGAGCTGATTCGAGTGATCGGGCGAGGTTCCTACGCGAAAGTGCTTATGGTCGAATTAAAGAAAACCAAGAGAATCTATGCAATGAAAGTGATCAAGAAAGCCCTAGTAACTGACGACGAAGATATCGATTGGGTACAAACAGAGAAACACGTGTTCGAAACGGCCTCAAACCATCCGTTTTTGGTTGGCTTGCACTCCTGCTTTCAGACTCCGTCGAGGTTGTTTTTCGTTATTGAATTCGTACGAGGTGGTGATTTGATGTTCCATATGCAGAGACAGAGGCGATTGCCTGAAGAGCACGCTCGATTTTACGCGGCTGAAATTTCGTTAGCGCTGAACTTCTTGCACTGCAAGGGGATCATTTATAGAGATTTGAAGTTAGATAATGTTCTTCTTGATCACGAAGGACACATTAAATTGACTGATTACGGTATGTGTAAGGAGGGAATTAGGCCGGGTGATACGACCTCGACGTTTTGTGGAACGCCTAACTATATAGCCCCGGAGATTTTAAGAGGGGAAGATTATGGATTTTCGGTAGATTGGTGGGCTTTGGGGGTGTTATTGTATGAAATGTTGGCGGGAAGGTCGCCGTTTGATATTGCGGGAGCTTCGGACAATCCCGATCAAAATACCGAAGATTATTTATTCCAAGTGATTTTGGAGAAGACGATTAGGATACCGAGATCGCTTAGTGTGAAAGCAGCTAATGTTCTGAAAGGTTTTCTTAATAAGAACCCGGCTGATAGGCTAGGGTGCACCAGTCATGACTCCTTTATGGAAATTACTACCCATCCATTTTTCAAGAGCATTGATTGGGATCTGGTAAGTGTAACTAAATTAGCAACGACAAAATTTTTACGAAGTTTTTGAGTTATGTGAGGCACTAAACCAAAGTTTGAACATTCCAAGTAAAATATCTAGAGGCAAAAAAAACTAAATTTATAGCGGTTACCCTTGTTGCGTACGGGGTTACGAAATCGGTGCGCAACCAAAGAAATTCCGCAATGATTTACTGTCTTTAACTATTAGCTAACTACTAAAAGTAGCTTAAAAAAGATGAAATTCAAGTTGCGAATTACCCGTGTATCACATTTTTTGTAGTATGTTGAAAAGGCGTAATTTTATCATTACGCTATAAGTTCTTTTTGTTGTGTATAAATAAGACTTACGATGTTTATCTTTTGTGTAAAAATCAATAGTCCTAGAGACCCGTCGTGTTTTATTGGATTGTGAGGTTTATGCTTCTCGGGTCGGATCAGCTGGATATTGACATGTTCCCTTTTAAACTGGTTTTATTCAAAATCCATACTTGCTACAGAACCGCAGCTTCACTTTTGTTCATAAATACTTTCTTCTGTTTATTTATGGAAAACTTGGTTTTGATTTAGTTATTCTAAAATAACTATTCGTGGTTGGATCCAGAGAAAAAAAATGTTTTGCATACAGGGAAAACAGAGAATATAAATAGCCGTTCCACTACTACACTACAAAGTTTCTGCATAGTAAAACACTCTTCTTAGTTTTTAAGTTTTGTAACCTTTGTGTTAAAAAAAATCTTGAGAAGTAATAGAAACGTTTTTATTTTTCATACAAATGAAAGTTCATTACTTTTTCATATACATAGTATCATTTGACATTAAAATAATTGTGGAGATAATTGTTACTAACCGGGCCATCGTCATCACTTTCTCCGTTAATACACCATAAGGACAAAAGTATATCGTATTTTTTTTTTTTTTTTGAAGACAAATCTAAAGATCAACAATACATCAAGTGATGAAATAAATAATGTGAAGGGATATTAAATACATTCTTATACATGTTTCACTTACATTTTAAATTATAAATTCTTAAGTATAATGAAACCAGTGCTAATGTTGTAGTTTGAAGTTGTTTAGTGTTGGATCTAGTTATTTTGTATGTTATTCGGTTTATATTTAATATGAAATTACTTTACATACATATTTAGAAACAGTAGTAATGAAATCGTTTCTATATCTTTATTAACTTTATCAGTACCTTTTGGATTAAAATAATACTGTTATTACGAGTAATCTGGCATTACACATACTTAACTAGTTCACACAACCTCAATGTGAAGATTATTTTTTGTATTTCGCAAAAGTCACAATATTTGTTTTGAAATTTGTAAACGGAAATGTGCATTTGCTACTTTTACCAAATTTTGTTTAGCCAGTGACTAGGACTGACTTTTGATAAATATAAAATAAAATACAAAAAGAGAATCTAGCATTTATCCTTCAACTGCACTGGTATAGGTATTCGACCAAATTATATTGAAACCATGATAATAAAATCTTTTTAAATAATACAGTATGACTTAATGTGTCAAAAATTTCCGAAAAGTTGAATAAACTCTGACAGTCACTTGTGTTTTTTTGGGCATCTAAATAAAAAAATTACAGATGTATTGAAAACCGATATGTTTTTGGTTAATTGACCGTCTGTAGATGTTTTATCTAAAGGATTTATAATTAGGGGATACAATATCAATTGTCTAAAATAAAACGGGTTGCGTATGATCTCACTTCCACTACATTTTTTTCCCTCCTAATTAATTTGGCGTATTGATTAGAAACAATAATAATAACAAAACATAAAGTACGGCAAAAGATAAATACAAACGCCGTCAATTATTTTATGAAGGGTATTCAGTACTTTGGACCGCAACCTGAAATAAAACCATTACGCATTAGGAATGCATTTACTAGCTTTACACAGGGTACAGCTTCGAAAGCGACTGGAGATTTTACAACGGCAGTACTCATAATTGGAGTCATTTGCATTTATCGTTTGCCGTACTATACTAGGTACGAGTATGTAATTTAAAATATTCGAAAATGGTAATTTTTTTGGTGTTATTCTGAAAATAGTTCAAGAATTGTGCCGATTAATTATGACAAGCCTGCAAAATTGAAATGTTAACTTGTTTTTGTTTTAACAACTGTTTCACATATTTGTTGTATTGCGAAATACGAATATAAATTTTATTTTTGCTAACACGTGAGGTTTATTTGGAAAACGAAATACTAAAATTTAAGAAAAAGACAATATTATAGAAAAATTAGATACTCCGATTATTTTGTATGGTGTCTGGAAAATGGCGGATTAGCTCTCCTAACAATCAACTGGTGAGTCTGGGAAAAATAGGGAAAAAATTTCTTCTCACATTTTGGTGGAGTTCTAATGATTTTAAAATTGGTTCTTTTGCTACGTTTAACAACTAAACAACATATTCATTATCACAATAACTAGTAATAAATCTTTTAGTTAATATTTCTCTCGCCTATGACCATGTTTAATTACCATTTAAAATGTTCAGTTTTTTTTTATTTCGGGAGACTCTTGGATACCCGTATTGTATTATTTTGGAAGCCCATGGAGATTTTGTTTGTAAATTATTTAAAACAATTTTGGGGGACTTTGGTGTTCTATTTTTGAAAAATTCTTACTTGACCTGTTTTTGAGTTAATTTTAGGACCCCCTCCCTCTCTTTTCTTAGATGGGATGCCATTTGCCAAAGTCGGTCTTATTTTAACAGGTTCTGCCCCCGCCCACCCGCCCTCTCTTTTTTTAGAGGGTATGTCATTAGCCAAAATCAGTTATATCTTAGTAGCTACTAGCCCCGCCCACCCACCCTCTCGTTTTTTAGAGGGCATGTCATTTGCCAAAATCAGTGTTATCTTAGCAAGTACTGATGAAAAAATGTTCAAAATTTGGAAACTACGAGTTTTCTTATGTGCACAAGGGAGGAGTGTTGAACATCTTCCGTAGTGCTTAGTTGGTTATGCTTTAATGGATTTTTCTTTTGTTGATTTTGTTTTTGTTTATAATTATATAAATGTCTTATTAAAGGTTTTTTTTTTGTTTACTTATTAATGAAAAATAACAGCTTGTTTTCTTAATAATAATTCACAACGATTAATGACTACTGATTGTTATGGTTATTGTCCAAAAAAAGTAAAAGGTGGATTTCAGTCACCATCCTTACTAAGAAATCAGAAAGTAAGCCGGAGGTATAAAGTTACGTTTTTTTCGTAATCTACATCATAAAGAAGTTTTTTTTTTTTTAACTTTTATCCACTTATTAAGAATCTTTGTTAAATCGGTGTCATTTCTCGTCAAAAGTTATATTTAAACTTTCTGTGGTGCTCATTATTATTACTTCAATTGGACACTATTTCTTTATTTTTGCACTTCAAATATATTATATTCCATTTCAAATAGCTGAAAGCTTACTATCGTATTTTTTGTAAGGCGATAACATATATGCATGGAATTTTTAATTTTAATTTTTTTTTTTTAACTGTACGTGATGGATTTTTTTTAACTATTTTGACGGTAATTAGCATAACAATCTATCGGATTCATCTGTTTTTTTTTTAAGACAGGTTTTTCACCGCAGTCTTGGATTATTTATTATTAATTGTAGAAAAGCGCAAGTTTTTTTCTTTCTCTAATTTGTCTAACAGTGGGAACTAAAAAATTAATAGAAATACCGTATATGGTATTTAAAAAAATCTTACGATAATTGCCAACCATTCATATGGCCAAATATATTCACCATTAATTTTATTTTTATGTTTATAATATATATTCACCTAACACTTACCTACCACTCCTCTTAATTTTTTATTAATGACGATAAGATGCCTATAATAAATAATTAATGATTACAAAAATTACAATTATAACAACGATTATTATTTCTGTACAGTCTTTATATTCACGACAGTGACCAGCTGTGAAACCATGTGAAATTTCTACCGAAACCGCAGTCTCACTTATTTCATTCACGTAGCAAATCCTTCGGGTTTTCGAAGCATTTTTACTTGTCTTTTACTGAAATGAACTCAACTCATATTCGACATATTTTGTTCTTTCAAAATTTCACAATTTCACCGCCACTTCATCTTTGCACAGAGACAATTTTAAAATTTGAATTGTGGCCTTGAGCTAACTAAATATCCCGTACTATAAATTATGATAATCTCTAGACGACAGAATTTTATTACTCGCTTGCAAAATGGTCATGTCATTTGCTTTTGAGGATGCACATAGTACAATCAGTTTGATTGTTTCTTGTCGCCGCATATATTTTAACGCAATTAAAAAAAAGCACTTTCTGGTACAATATCTTTAAATCAAATGGTGAACCCCAAGGTTGGAAAAGTAGCCCTAAATCTGGAGCAGATAAAAACTGTGAAATAAGTTATATGACTGATGGCCCTCTTAGTTCCTAATAAACCCTCCTCCAGATGGACGCAGGTGTTGAAGGTGTTAATTAACTTGTACACAAATGCTAAACTGTGCATCGTGAATAACTTGATGTTGATCCATGTGTATTTAAATAAATAGTTTGAGTATTTGTAAATGACTTAGGCGCCTGGGAGCAAATGCGTTATCTGTTTTGTGACGAATGCACTTAAATATTTACGAAATTATCCGTGTTATTGAACTAACATTAAACAAGAATGAAGTAATCATATTTGTAGTCTTCACTTTTGCTTTGTTTTTATGTTAAATCGTACAATGAGAACAAAATTTCGGTCCCATAATTGTGATCTTTGTCTAATATATCATGCTGGTTGTAGAGCGTTGGATGTTCTAGTAAGAATTTTCACTGAGATATTTCTGTAACAATTTAACAAAAAAACAAAGTGAAAAAACTTGGCAGGGTTAGCAAAACCCGATTAATATCTGTCATCTTCGAACGATTCCATTCCATCAGCTCATTTTTTGTGAACTATTTAAAGTGTAGTAGTCATTTAAAAGTTTTGTCTAAGATTCGACTGTAAAATACACTCTTTGTTACATTAAACCAGTCATTTCAATGCTACATTTAGAAAGTCGATTAAAGCAAAAATTTCAATGGCATGCGCGAAAAGTTTTGTTGCCATTGCATTGTTTCTATTGTCAATTGTTTTGCATTGTATGATTTATTTTTGTAATCGTTAACAACTTTTATAAAAATGTTTGTTCGTGACCCAGAGAAGCTTGTTCAAACTTTGTGTAAAAATGATGAAATCCCGTTTGCGGCGAACTTTATTTGTTTATGCCGACTTTCATAATAATAACAATAATAATAGTGATGTCATTGCACATGTAGTAACTGTATAAACATACCCCAGATGGCACTGTACCAATAGTGAGGGATGTACTTTTAATATTTTTTTGTGCCGTCAAACATTTAAAACTCGGTTATTTTATTGCAAAATATTTGCAAAAGCAATAAATACGCGTAAATGTATTAAAAAAGAAACAAAATGTGAAGAACAAAAGAAAATTTGTAAATAAATTATTAGTAGCATATTTTAGTTTTTTCAAAATACATATATTGAATCTGCCTCACTAGATTTCATTGTGACACCATATGTGTCTAACGCCTTGTTATTTCTTTATCTTTTCAAACTCAGTCATAAACAAGAAGTTAAACCTGCGTTTTGCAGGACTGGATTTGTAAATGACCAGACAATTAATTCATGTCGTTTTTTAGCTCGAACAGAAGCAAATTCCGCCCCCTTACCGGCCCCGACTCGACTCCGACAGAGACCTGGCTAACTTCCCGCCCGAATTTACGGATGAACCGGTGCACCTCACCCCTGATGACCCGTAAGTAGTGTCAATTCTTTTCGCCAACCATGTTGGCATCTTCCTATCGAGTTCATATCAAAATTTTTCGTTGCTGCAAATACATATTGTGTTAATATTGATTCCTTGTAACAAAATAAACTCCAACCTAACGTGATTTTAGGCACGTGATCGAGAAGATCGACCAATCCGAGTTCGAGGGCTTCGAATATGTGAATCCCCTGCTCATGTCTCTAGAGGATTGCGTGTGACATAACGTCCTTTGCGCTTTACATCCCAACAATTTACCCCCACCTCCGCTGCATCGTCATCCCCCACCACTGTTCCCGCCGCCGCCGCCGCCCCCCGATATCGACGACTACGACGACGCTGGTTATTTGCAAGTTGATATGAGGCCAAGTAAGTCCATCTTGCAAAACATTTTCTGCCTTCCTCTAAATTAAAAAGAAACACTAAGTCGGGGAGAAGGAGTAAGGAGCAGCAACGGCAGGCGCACCATACGTTGGTTCTTCCATATTTTAAATAACAATGAGAGTGGGGATAGAAAATGTTCCTCCACCATTTTTTTGTTGCTAGCACAGATCGCAGTAGGTGTTGACGCCTCTAAAAAGTTAATATTGTTGCAAAAACCATGAGTTTGTATTACAATACTAGAAAAATAATTGCCAACGAAGCTTTGTAATAATAATCATAGGGAAATTTTCTGCACTCAGACTTGATAGTTGTAAATACAAAATAAAAATGGAGATTTGACGGGAAAGTAGGTTGGTATTGTTTTCATTAAATTTGTTTCGATTATTGTTATTACGGTCGTTGATGTTTTAACTCTTACGTGATGTTTGGAAAACAATTTATTTTTTGTTGAGGTTTTTTTTTCTGTATAGTACTGGTTTCGTTGACCTGCACATTCCTCTGATGTATTATTGAATTTAGTATTAAAATAATTGAAACAAATCATTGACTGATGACGTCACAGTAGACCATTCGTGATGGTTACTAGAATTTTGTATAATATACACAAATTGAGAATGACTATATAATATTTAGAGTAGCCACAAAGTATATATCTCGCTTTACAACTTTATTATAACTGTTGGTATTCCTTCCATTTATTATTTTTTTTAAGAATACAATGTTAAGAATTATTTATATGAAGTTTAAGTATTATTTTTTACATTCCAAATACTTTGGGACTGTCCATTCACTTATATGTTAGCGTTACAATCTTAGGTTCCATGATGTTTGTATTATTTAATAAAGAACTAATCAGAACACGTGTTGTCAATATCAACCTTGAATTCAAAAATAATTTATTGAGCATCGTTACATTTATCACAATCAGGACTAGATCTGTTACATTTTGCATAGATCAATCAACTTTCGTTTTCAAACTCTTCAGGTAATCTTGAACCGCTGCTGATCTAAATATAATGACTGAGATGACTGATCCTATCGTCGCTCCCAGCCAATATACGACGAGATGTTCGACGAACGTGTTCCCTTCGCATCCCAGCTTCAGCGAAGTGGCCAGCGCTGGGTTGTAATAGCCTCCAGAGAGATTGAAAGCTACGGAAAGTGGACGGTTATTTACGGTAATAACTAAAATCTGTTTCCTTATTCATATTTTATAAGCGTGTGGGTAGAACGCATTATGTTGTATTGATGCGCACAACGTTGTTTCATTTTTTATTAACGGGCTATGAGACGTTTTAATTGACAGTCGAGTGTGTCGTATCTATTATTAACAAGAAAATCGATATGGGAGGCTAAGACTGATGAGAATGGTTAGGTGGTACCCAATTTTGGGGATAGAAATCTATTTCGATTAAGTGGAAGTGGCTTTGCACGCAGTGACAGATCACTTGTTTGTCTTTGTTTGTTAGGTGATTATTTGGATTAAAGCGCCCATCCATTTGAAATATTCACTTGGATGATAATCAGTAATTTTGTTAGTCCTCAGTCACATAGTGTGGCTGATTACTATTTAATATCTGCCGCTATATGCTCCCATCCAGACAAGAAAGTGTATTGGATGAGTCTCAAACGGCATAAACCTATGCAATGCACACCAAGTGTTTATTAAAAATTGCACAAACTTTAGAGATAAATTTGCTGAGAAAACTAAGACCCCTTTGCTGTTATGCCAATTAATCTTTAAATTTTAGCAAAGTTTGTACCAAAATTACAGTAATATTTCGCTTCAAAAACTTTCTTGCTTTGTTGTGTATTTCGCATTTACTTCTGACACAGGCATAAAAGGACAGATAATAAATTGATATTTATTCGACAAAATTTTAGTAAAAGACTTACCTCTAAACTACGCGAAATGAGTGTAGGTCACAGAATAACGTCTGTTTTCCATTTAGATAAGGATAACTTTGATATCTGTTTATTTATGGCCTTTTTCACGTCTGATAGCACTGGTTATATTATTGTTGTTTACCTAAGGTAAACGGATAACATTTATCATGAATATAATGTAATGAATTCATTAGTAGCTGTGTGCGAAATTCAAATAAATACATTTCTAGTGTGCACAACTTTGATTGTGTTAATTCTTTACTAATAACATAGTGGCCGCAAACCAACATTTATTTTCTTTATTATTTAGCATTATATTTATTAAACACTTTAAGCGATCTATAAAAAAAACTTCACATTCATAATCTTGCCAAACTTATGAATAAATACAGAGTATTTAGACCTGGCGGTGTCGTAACTTTATATCACTGATGGTTTTGTCAAAAATGACATCAACTTTTTCTTTTCATGTAGGATAGACAATAGTTTTAAGTGTGTTAGTTACAGTATTTTTCAGTTATTATTTTTTTTTTGTGGTGCAGTGGTTGGTTTAATGCTTTAAAAAATTAAATGGCGGCTCTGAATGTACCTGTTCTGAATACTTGTACATCTTTGCTGTTTCTGGAAATGACATCAACTTCTGCGATGTGATAACTTTTTGGATGGGTAAAATATATTATAATACAGCGTGATCAACAAGTACTGTTTCAGTTAGTATCAATGAATTTTGTTTGAAAAAATTTTACTTCCTATTGTAAAACTTACATGGTACACAACAGTGACGTTTACTTTACCTCAAAATTTGTTTGTTGATTATTATTATTATTAAAATGTTATAACCAAACTTTCTTGAGGGCTTAAAACTGAGATTGCACCAAGAATTTGAATCACGTTTGAACAGCGGAAGAAAATTCTCAGAATTGGTTAAATCTATTGCCAACTTAAGCATTAATTTTTCATCACGCTGTATTTTTACCTCCCGAGTGTAAGCTAAGAAAGTGCTGTCGTAATAGGGTCCATCGATATCTAGTGACGCCAAGGGTACGAAAAAATTAGTCTCTCGTTTCCGTTTGTGTCTGTCGTCTATGTCGACTTTTATTAGATAGATATTCTCCGAAACTACTGGACCATTTGTAATCAAATTTTGTATGTATAAGGAATATCATAGGTAGTAAAATACTAACTAAAATTTAGCTATGTAATCATCCCCACCGATAATTTGATGACTTCCCGTCAATTTTTTTTAGTAAATGTCATTTAAATTTTATAAAATAACTTATTCGTATACTTGAGGTTTATGAATCCACCTTGATTTTTTACACTAGACATCCAGTTCTATGTATATAAATTAATAACCTTTTATACTTATTGTATCAACAATCGGCAGGTGGTTCCTTAGAAGCGCTTACAGGTTTTTTCTTCAACTGTGTATTTTTTTCTGTTTTTAGTGGTATACCATTTCACTTAAATGCTTTAACATCTTTAAAAAAATAGATAAACAAAATGATCGAAGGTTATTTCGACAGAACTTTCCTCGCCCCTGGAGGACTTATCCAACTTTTTCGAAAATTTATAAAATTTGATTTTGCGAATTTTATTTTTTTTACATAACCCCTATAAGTTAAAATATAGAAGTGGATATAGTAAAGCAAAGGTAGGTAAGCTGTTTGCATGTTTCAAATGAATTTTTCCGTCGCAAAATTTGAGATGACGTCATCAACATTCTAGCAAGGAAACGTATATGAATTTGGATACATGGAGTGTAATACTAACAATTAATTTAGAAAATGGAGTAAACCATTTTTGATTTAATCAATAAAATAAATTCCCTCATTAATTAATTTTTTAACCATTTTAAATAAGGTCAGAATATCAAAATATTAAAGAAAACAGTCGATTTTTAACGGCACCTTTGCTATAGAGGCTCGATTTTGCATTGATACAAACGCAGTAATCCAAAAAACCATAAACTCAGAACAGGAAGCGGAGACGGCTGACGGTCACAATTTACAATTGTTTCTGCTTGTTTGATAACTTGTCTATTTTTTTTAATGTATGTCTTAGTATTTTGTTATTTTATTAAGTTATTTACACCCCCTGAAGTACAGTCCAATAAATTTAGCTTCTTCGAAAAATTATAAAATTTAAATAATCCATTATAATTTAAAGTTGGGATATGTATGGACTACTAAAATACAGTTGGGGGGAATAAATTGATATATCGGAGACTGAACCCTAAACCCCTCAGATCCAAATCTGATATGCTTGCCACTGAGCTATGGTACCTGTTTCGTATGGTTGGTTTTAGGTATAAAGACCAGTTTTACTACAAGAAATATTTGATAATAAAAATTTTAATAAAAACAAACAAACAAAATCAAGCCAAATTCATACCAAAAGTACAGTCATATACTATTTTATAAAATTTATTGATCAAATTGTTGGTAGGTATGATCTGAAAAACAATAACATTACTATATTCTCAAATTTTTATGAAAATTGGTACTCATTTTTTATCATATCAATAAAATAAATGTCCTCATTTTTCCAAGAAACCATAAACTCAGATCAAGAACGGGAGACGACCCACGGTGATAATTTACGATTTCTGCTTGATTGATTGATTAATTGACTAATTTTTTTGAGTGCAAAATACATTTTTTGGCATTTTGTAAATAAAGAAAAATCGTCCAAAGTTATGTACAACACCCCCTGAAGTACAGTCCAACAAATTCAGCGTCTTCAAAAAAATATAAATTTAAAATAACCCTTATATAATTAATTTAAAGTAGAAATATATGTATAGGGACTGCTAAAGTACAGGTAAACCAGTTATAGTGCCAGAAAAAAAAGGGTTACCGGAGATGGAATCCCGAGCCCGGCAGAGGTAAAACTATGCATGTGATTGCCCATATTTCGTATGGTTGGTACTTAAAGACCAGCATTACTACAAAAAATTATGAATCATAAAAACTGTAATAATAACAAACAAAATCAAGGCAAATTCATGAATCACAAGTCCAGGAGTATGTTATTTTACACAGTTTATATAGCATGCACTAAGAAAAAATTTTAAATGACATAATTAAATTGTTAATGGGGATCATTAAACAAATTTCGGTTATCGTTGTATCATCTACAATTCTACACGATATTTCTAACGTTCACATAAAATTTGACAACAATCGGTTCGGCAGTTTCGGGGTTTGTCTGTCTAAGAAAAATCCACACAAACGACAAACTGACGGAAATGCGAGACCTACTTTTACTTTCCGAGCGTAACCAAAGGAAGTATTGTAATCGAGTCCACCGGACGAATAGCCACTTTTATATTTTCTCGACGTTTCATGACCCCTACAGTACGAAAAAGTCTCCCGTTTCCGTCTGTCTGTCTGTCTATCTATTTTTAATAGACACGTAATTTCCGAAACTGCTGGACCGATTGTTATCAAATTTTGTGTATATATTAGAAATATCATGTAGATGGGTAAATGCTAACCAAAAATTGGCTAATCATCTCCACCAACTGTAAAATTAAATTGTATAATTTTTTTAAAGAGCTGGAATTGTCGTATTATACTTATAGCTTTCGATCAATTTTTTATTGATCAAATTAAGAACCTCATTTTTTAGATTTGTTTATACGGGGTCACTCAAAAACAATAATGCAGCAAAATTTTGAGGTGACGTCATCAAATTATTGGTGGATATGATTAGATAAATGTAATGTTAAAATTTTCGGGAAAATTGAGTAAATCATTTATTACTTAATTAATGAAATAAATGGCTTCATTTTTCCAAGAAACCATAAACTCAGAACATGACTAATTTTTTTGATGCAAAAAACACATTGGCACTTTTTATTAAAGAAAAATCGTTATTTTCTTAACACAAAAAAATTCGTCCAAAGTTATGTGCACCCCTTGAAGTACAGTCCCAACAAATTCACCGTATATGGACTGCTAGAGTACAAGGCAACCATTGCCATTGTAAGGGACATTTTTTATCCGAGATCGAATCCGAACCCTCCAGAGGTAAAGTTAATGTGCTTTTCGAGTTTCGTCTGGTTGGTATTATGTGTTTAAAAACATAAATAAAAAAATAATAACAAAATCTAGAGAAATTCAGTCTATAAAAGTTCAGTTAAATATTTGATTGCGATTAAATTTTTAACACGGTGTTGAAGTAGCACGTGACCAACTCTACGCCAATCAGACGTAGAGAAAACATGAAAGTAGTCATTTGTCAGATTTTACAATATTTTCATAGCTTACGCTCGGGAAGGAAAAATATGGAGGTAATGGTGGACAATTCTTCTTTATTTACTGTACAAGTATATTTTGAGATATTTTTTTTACATCGGTGCTAAGAAATGTTTAGTGTAAAATAATAGAAAACAAACTGTTACGCTCAAAGGAACATGACTCTGAAATGTCAAGTATATCCAAAAAATACAAAAGAAACAAGATTGTATGAAGAGAGTTTTCCAGCAAAACAAATTCCAAGAAAAATATTTCTGTGAAAATCAGGTAATAAAAAACATTATATTTAACGTAGTCTAGAACATTTCCCAAATAATAAAAAGTAAAGACGTTATAATGCTAATATTATAGTCATTCGTTGAAATGTTCTTAGTGTTAATTAACTATTCGAACTTTCAAACAACTGTCTGTTCAAATTACGCAAACGTGACGCTTACTTTAGGGATCAAATCCAGGACTGAAAAACAGTTATGTATATGGGATATTAGAGTAATTTTTGACCTCCACCACAAATTCTAAATTTTGATCAACAAATGGAAGTCAACCCAACTCGTGCAAAATCACTACGAATGTATAATATATGTACTTAAGAGGCCACTACTTACACTCAGGGCCGGTTTATCAATGCTCAGTTAAAAGTGTCTGTTAAGTAACTGTCAGATAAGGGTAACTAGCAGTTAACGGAGGTAAAGTGTTTATCAATGCACGATGTTTCTTCCAGTTTCGTAGCTCGAAGTTTAGCTGTTACTCTCTTAAGTTGGTAACGCTCACCCCACTGGAAATGAGTTGTGATTGGTCAGTTCAAAACTACCCCGACCTTGAAAGTTCCATCAGATTCGATCCGCATTCGATATTCAACAATTGTATATCGCGTTTCACGTGATCAATCATGAAAAAGCAAAATTTAGCATTAGAAAAAAAGTATTGGAAATTAAAAATGAAACAAGTAGGTACACCTATAAATAAATACAGAGAGATCGAAAAAGAAATTAGTCAAAGTTGGCCATGCACGAAAAGACGTTTGTCTTAGTTTAAAATAATTTTTTGTTAATCGTCACGGTGACAAAAGTAATTTGCACTGTTATCAAACGAAATTAAAGCTTTTTTGTTATTAGAATCTTCAGAAATGGGATAAATTTTAGACAAAATTGGAAAACAGTGATTTTAATTCATTCTTATGTGTTTTCTCTGTTAATTTGTTGCACAACATAAGTCCTCATTAAAAGATATAAGATTTATTTGGATTTGTTAGGTTATGTTGCCACTAACTGGTAGATAACGTTTTAACTGACAGTTTGAACTGTCAGTTAATTTATCAGGCACTTTGACCACCAGTTTTGAGCTAGCGGGTAATGATAAATAGGTTAACTCACAGACAAGCTTTAACTGCCAGTTACTTTAACTTAACTGCGCATTGATAAACCGGCCCTCAGTGTCAAGGATAAACTTTCCGCAGTAAATTTACGTTATGGTTTTGGCGTGCCCACAATCATTGTGCTATTTAATAACTGAAATGGCAAAGTTTAATTTTCAAGTAAAGCTTTTAAATACATCAACTATTAATTTGCCTTAAATAGATGAATTATAGTTGAGGATAATTTAGGGAGTTAGGGCAGTTAAAGTCAAAACTTTTAATTAATGACTGTCCCAGTTACAACATTAAACTAAATTTGCATTAAGAAGTTTTGATTAAGCTGTAAGTGAGTGAGTAAGTTTTTGAATAAAGATGCTGCATCTCTACCACAATTTGCTTATTTAAAACGGTATTGATTAAGGCTTTTAATAAACATAACAGCAAACGAAGGTTTAATAGTGACGAAAATGTATGCATAAAAACGAAGCAAAAAACACTCAGCTTCCTTTTAAAAATTTATTGTAAGAGACGAGGTTTTTTCACGTCCGTCCTAAATATATCGTCAATAAAATATACGCACATCGCCATTACTGATTCTACGTCTTTTTCAGGGCCAAAGGTAAATCTAATATTTATACTCTCCTTTTAAAAATAAACGTTTAAATTGAACTTTATTTCCAAGTAATACAATTTCTTGAAATAGCAGGAAAAACATACCGATCAGTTCGAATCAGAACAAAAACATATGAACAAAATAACGTATACCAACAAAAACACTTACCCATAACAACCATCATCGTGCTAAAGAAAGCATCCAAAACATTCCCGAATTTAGTTCCAGTTTCACTCAAAAACCTCGAAGTTATACGACAAGCACACGTTCCTGCAGCCTCTATAAGGGCACCAAGAAGCATGTGAACCTGCAAATCTGCCACACAGTCTTCAAATGCTTTACTTCGGTGCGTTTCAACCAACTCCATCGCCCATAAAATTTGGACGTACCGAAACGTGACTATGGCTCCCAAAATTTGCGAAAAAATCAGAAGAGCCGCGTAGCTCACATCTTGAAAACCTTCTAAGATTTCTTCGACGTGACTGTAGGGGCAAGCCGTTGCATTTTCCCAATTCTTGCCCCACCAAATGGTTAAAAGACAGAGGTAGAGGGCGTACGCCCATATTCCCCAGTTGTCCGCAACTGTTAGACGAGACTGATTTGTTATATTGTATGAATAAGAAAATTTGTAATGAAATCATCCTTGGACGTGAAGTGAAATGATTGTGTAATTCGACAGATTCCGCTAGAATTCAGTTCAGAGATAGAGGTCCGAAAACTAATCGCTGACAGTTGTTAGGTAGTAGTAGATGTTCGTCACCAACGGTTATAAATAGTAATAATGGTTTCTAAGTTAGCAGCCACATCTATTCGTCACAATAAAACATCTGATGATGTAATAGTGTTATAAAATTCGACTAGTTTATAAATGAAGCGTCCAGGCCTCTATTTACAGTCGTGCTCCAACAGTGATTTCACGTCGGTGATAATTTAATCACAAATTTTCTTAATTTGGCAATACTGTACTTTTTACTGTTGTTAATTTTTTTAATCGTGGAGCGATGTGCGCCCCACAATCCTTACTTTTAACTATAATATAGGCCGTAATACTCAGGATCCGAGCTACGAAAGTTCGGACTCTGTCTGGACAGGCCTGCAACTTTTGGCTACTTCTTACCTATGATTAATTCGAAGCAAGCGGCACATAATTCGAGGGTCGCTACAAACTCCAACACCATGCGTTTGAAAATGCTATCGCTAAAGATGGCATTGATTATTTTCCGTGTCAATGCGGCCAAAAAAAGGGCAATGATGATATAAGTGGTCGAGATGATAATAGGGTGTATGCCAAATATGTTCCGGCGTTTGCTGGAAGAGACACTTTATCAACGCCGATGATTACCGATTACATAATCGGCGCGCAGCGCAATTTGTTTATTTAAACGGTTTAAAATGAACGCGCCTTTTGGAATATTAATCGAGTAATTGAGTCTCACCTATAACCCACAACACCCATCCGTTTAAAAAATCGGGACACTTTCCTGGCGAGACTTGCCGCCATTTTTTCGGATTTTACCACAGGTTAATTGTTGGTGGATTAGTTTTAATCACAGCGATAGAGTTAAAGGTTACGCGACTTCATGATAATCAAAAGCAACTGCCCAACGAAAGGTTATAATTAGTTCAAATTCTAGGCTTGTGGTCTAATTTTAAGCCATACGCACACAGCACATTCAGGAAGAGACTTGTTCGGAGGAAACAGAAAAAATGTTCGTCACGACAACACATGTGGTCTACATGTGGAGGGGTCTGGATTAGAAGACCTTGATTGCTTGATCAAGTACTTATTTATGATAATTGATGGTAAATAGTTCATGTTGAGTATTACTGCAATTGGCGGTATGGTAGCTCGAATTTGCCGGAAATAATTAGATTCAATGTAGCACTAACCTTTGATCTGACATTTTCCACGACAACTTTTCATTCACAGATCATAGCACACTAGGAGTGGATAATAACAACAACAATTTAAGTTTTACGTTTCTTTATTTTTTTCGCTTTTGCTTTTCGTTTTATTTTTTTCCTAATACAGTTTATTACAAGTTCCGATAAAAAAATTAAAAATCCGAGAACATAACCGACAAATATAAGAACAAATGCCCCTTGGAGTTGTCGTAGACTTAACTTTCGCGCAACACTACTTTCTTGCTGCATCGCTTTAATTCTGTTCAAAATGTACGTGTATTTATTTGATAATGCGATAACTATGCCATGTGTATTCATTTGGCCAACCACATAGTCGATTGTATCTAAAAAGGGAAATCCTTTATTCACGACGATGTTCATAGAGTATGAAAGGATCTTGTTCTTCAGTATAAAAATTTTAGGTCTGCCCCTTCTGTCAGTCAGAGGAGGTTCTTTATTCGCAACCATATACTTAATAAAAAAATCACTTCCTGCAACACAAGTGTTCCGGTCTGTGGCAACTCTGTCCATCCAAAATTTAAGAGAATCATTTACTTGAAAAACTTGGCGTATTTTCACCGACATTTCATCTTCACCGTGACTAAAAATGTCTCCCTCGACAGGCAAACCACCTATATCCCATCCCTTGCTAAACACTCCCTCAAGCGAATCCACCTGATGTTCCTTCTGTGGGTGTGTCAAATACTGAATAAGAGAACTGGTATAGACTGAACTAATAATAATACTAAAAATCGCCAGACCCCAAAATACAACCCTGACCCAATCCGATCGCGGGTGTTTAAAAACGGCTATAGTCAAAATAACTTGAAAAGCTACAAAAAAGTCATATCCCAATACTTTATAGGACTGAAACTCCTTTTTGGAAAAACACGTTACCCGAAAAAAAATAGCGCTGGTGATAATAATGGCGATGCAAAGAAACCACAAATACCAACTGAAAATGGCTATGAGAACTCTCCATTTAGGTACAGTCTGAGCAATAGGAACAATCCACACTAAATCTGAGTAAAAATGAGGCACAGCATGGTCAAAATCTTGATCATATTTCGGAATTACGAAAAAGTTGCCCACACCCAAATAAGAATCTCCATAAACTAGGTCCAAGCCGTTAGACCAACTTCCATTTTCATTTTTATCACCCCAGGATTCGTGTCCACTCAGAGTTATATTCATTGTAGCGTTAAGGCTATTTCCGATTTCTTTGACAAGTTCGATTTCGAATCCTTTGTCTTCGCTTATTACAAATGGATCGATTTTGCGAGCAACTACGTTAAGTACACATTTGTAAAAATTGTGGCCAATTTTAGACGCATAATATGTTTTTATGGGGTTAATTTCACCCTTAATACAAGTGTTAACCATTATTAGCCCAGTGCTATCCAAACACCGCCTTCCAGCGTTCATACCAAACTCCATCGAATACACAACAATTTTTCTTAAACTTTTGGGAATAAGTAACAACACATTGTTTATGAACCTTTGCCACATCATGTCCAAAATTAAAAAAGCCCGACTTTCGTAATATCTCTCCAGGGTTGAATAATACACCAAATAATACGCTTTAGGGTTAAAACTATCCATCTCCATCAACACTTCAAGTTTTGCTTCGAAAACCTCAACACTATCAACCACTATTATATAATACGTCGTGTAAATCTCCACTGTGGAGTTCATTCTGTAATCCTCGATCACCTCTATGTTGAACTCGAGCATAACGTTAAGCCTTTTTATCAAATTCTGCTGAATTTGGAACCCTGGCGACGTCAAGTTTGCAGTAGTAATGATGGTTAACAATTCGACGTTGGCGTTACTTTGTGTGGCGTTCGAATGTACATAGTTGAATTGTTTAGTTGCTACTTTTTGCAAACAGTTGACGGCGTAACGTTCGTGGATTGGGCCATATGGGTTCAAATGAGGGCGACTTATGGCCGACATTACCGAAATGGCGAATATGAAACGATTAATCATGTTTATGTCTGAGAGACTGTACTTGCACTAATGGTCTCTGGTCTGTAGATGCGAGTAATTCATGTTTGGCATGTGTAGTTAAATTACAAGATATGTTTAAGTTGCGTGCCAACAGGTGATGATTCCTGGCAAGTGATAGGAGAACACGAATAACATTTTAAATTAGATGATCCGAGGTTCACGAAATCACGTTTCTTTTATTTGGATGTGAGAAGGGGATTTTCCATGGTTCTCGGAATGAATTAAGCTGTACATGTTAACTTATATGTAGAACAGTTTTACTGGGTATTGTTTTACTTGTTGTTGATAAGACTATCGTGTTTTTAATTATGACAGTCATGCATAAATTTTTCGAACACTGTGAAAACTTACACGTAAGTTGATGATTGAGAAAATATAACAAGAGTCTTCGGAACTCTGGGCCGAATGTCAGAAAAAGTTCTGAAGATCTAAACTGTAGAGTCATGAATACTAACAAGCGAAATGATTGTAATTTTTGTGATTTTAAATGTCAAAGCTATGTTGTATTTCTCATTTTTTTTTGACTTAATATTTTCCTTTACATGAGCTGCAGGCCATATACTGTTGGTTTATTCTCACACACAAAAGTAGTTAGAGACCGCTAATGTAATCAGCACATACGTTATTTACTTCCTTAGTACATAGCAAATATGGCCTCGATGTTGCGACGCAAACTTATATTATTAACTACGATTACGACAATATAAAACATTGGTGTGTATTAATTTTTAAAGAGAGTTTGTAGAGTTTGTTTTTCTGAATTGTATCACATTTGAATCACCCATAGTGTGGCCACTACATTTGATTCGAATACATTATGCTATAAAAACACTCTGTTGACTTGTTTGTATTTGGTCTAGTGCGGAGTGTCAGTTCACACTTCGTCACCGATGATAGGAAACGGAGATCCGACTACACCCCCATTGATAAAATGTTACGCAAATGTTTGGAGGTTCGAAAATATGAACGGTTGTTCTTGATGATGGATACCTCTGAGGGTGCGCCCATCCTTTAAATTTTACTTTACCTATTATGTGACTAAACAACAAAAAAACAAGGCGGATTTGTAAAGTACGAGTACAGGAGTATATTATTTTATAAAACTGAAATGACGTTTCTTAGTAAATCTTAAGGTGAGGTCATTACAGTGTGAGTGGGGGTGACCAGACAAATTACGATCGGAAAGTAAAAATTGAACTGTTTTCAACAGCAACAAAAAACATTATTGTAATCCAGATTGGAGACTTAAAGTCAAAAGTACTAGGTGTTTGTATACCTGTCTCTAGAGCAATATATGGCAACCGTATACATCCATTTCTTCACATAGTAATTTATATTATTTACTACTAAAACACGTATAAGTGTTTTATATCACTATAATCGTAATTTAATGATCTATCAAAATTCGTTACAAAAAAATATATCTTGCATTTTAACAAAAGTATAATTTTGTGTCACAACGCCGCAGCATATTAAATTAAGGTTATCCATTCAAGCTAAAAACAATGAAGTTTACAGAATTTTAATATTTCTACCCGTTTTCAAATATACATTTGAGAACGGGTAGAAATAGAATATATAATAGAATAGAATTTTATCTGGAACGCCTATATAGCGTTGGTCAACAACAAAGAATTTTCAATAGTTCCTATATCACTGAGGGTGTTGCTTTCGATAATATATTTTTATTTTTTGAAATTAAAAAACTGATAGAATTTTGAATAAACAGAAATCCAAGTAGGTTGTATTGTTTCATCATGCATACAACCCGTTTTACGAGTTCAACAATTTTTGACATTTATTTAAAAAAAAAAAAACTGCATTTTAATTCCTAAATATTCCACTTTACCGTACGTTCCCCTAGGTACGTGCTTATATTAGAATTGCTAAACGGATGCGGTAATAAAACGTGAACAACATACCTACAGTTGTAATTAGATTTGAAGTTAGATATCTGCTTAGCAGGGCTTTAGCACCGGCTGTTCATGCGACTTTCACGTGATCACCGCAGCTGTTAATTGACTCTAGTATATCTGATTTGCCTAATCAAATCGTTTTGACTGCATATACTGCGTGACCAAAAATGACTGACTCTGCTGGCAGTACTTTTTAAACAAAAAGGTGAACTTTTCTTGCGTTTATGTTGGCACAACGGAAGCAATTATGTGACAGATACGTCAATCGTGACATGCGATAAATTTAGGTTATGTTTTGGATACATTTTGCCGTCGTCTTCGTTGATTCACTATTAAAGTCTCTCCAATTGGTTACAATCGTCCGATTTGTCAAAAGGGAAAATATCAAAAGATGTCACCCCCTTCGGGAGTTACAGGAACCTGTAATTAATCCGTTTTGTCACGCGCCAAACCAGTTTGTACTTGAATTGTTATTATCAAAATGTCCAAAAAAATATTGCTATGTGCCTGCTTGTGGGATCGTCAAGGATCCTAGAGACCACAAAATAATGCACAGATTCCCTTCAAACACTGTGAACAAAAGGTTGTGGTGCAAAAAGGTTTTTAATGGTACAAGTAGGTACCCCAACATGAATCTTTTACCTAAGGGAATGTATAGCCATTAAAACCATTTCAGGTGATAATATTGCACATAATTTATACATTTGTGGTAAATAGTTTGAGAGAACTTGTTATTATACAAATAAAAGAGTTAAACCCGGCTCTTTTCCTACTTTGTTCCTCCATGGTTCCAAGTCACCGCTACCTGTTCCTACTTTTTCAAGCTCCCCAGCAAGTACTAAACGGGATCCAGAATGCAGCTTCATAATTCCTGAGACACATTCCGATAACAATGTAAACACCTCAAAGAAAAATTTTCCTACTGCATATCCCTTTGAAGACCATCCACGCCC